CAAGTTTAGATTTGTGAGTGGGTTCGACGCGGGAGAACAGAGATGCCGTCTTCGCAGCTTCAAGCTTTTCGCTTTCGGTGAGCGAGTCAAACTGTCGGCCGGTGAAGCTTTTGCCGGTGAGATCTTCGTCCTGATGAAATACTCCAATCTGTTTGCAGATTGTCTCCGCAGTGTTCTGATTGTCACCCGTTATCACGATCACCCGGATTCCTGCTTCTCTGCACTTCATAATCGACCTGGCCACTTCCGGGCGAGGCGGGTCGAGCATGCCAACAAGTCCGATCAAGGTCATGTTTTGCTCCAGCTCAGCATACGCTTGGTTGCTCTTTGCGGTGTGCAGGAGCTCATTGTCGCTGACGTTTTCCACACTGGCCAGCGCGAGTACGCGGAGGCCATGCCGTCCGTATTCAACCAGCTCCTGAGTGAGGAGTGCCTGATGCCGCTTGTTGATCGGAACTTTTTTCCCATTCGACCCGAGAATGATGTGAGAGCACCGTTCGATGATCGATTCGGGCGCACCTTTAACAAGGAGCTTTTGGGCTTGACCGGTACCAGCTAGGACGGACATGCTCTTCCGATCCCTCGAAAACTCATACATTGCCTGCAGAGGAAGTTTTTCTTCGTAATATTTACTGGCAAAGTCTACTCGCTCAGCGCCAGCAAGACCATCTCGAGTCTTGTTCATCGTAGCATCATCGGTGCCAATCTTTTCAACCAACACACGGAGGGCTCCCTCGGTGGGTTCTCCAATGCTTGCATAGGTGTCGTTCTTCGCGTCATAGGACAAATGCGCCTCGTTGCATAGCGCCAGGACTTCTGACATCTGTTTGATAGTGTCTGAAGTGGCCGCGGGATTCTCAAGCTTCTTGCCATTGCGGATGAGGTCTCCCGTCGGGGCGAACGTGGTTCCTGTGACTTCGATCTCCTCCAGGTCATCACCAGACTCGTTGAGGTACACAATTTTCTCGACACTCATCTGGTTAGTTGTGAGAGTGCCAGTTTTATCGGAGCATATAACACTGCAACTACCCAGGGTCTCCACAGAGGGCAAACTCCTGACGATGGCGTTCTTGGCCGCCATTTTCCTCGTTCCCAAGGCAAGGCATGTCGTAATGACCACGGCGAGACCTTCGGGAATTGCGGCAACCCCCAGGGAAACGGCGATTTTCAGGTAGTAGATAGCACCCTTGGCCCAACTTCCACCGTGCGAGGGATCATTGAAATGTTGGATGTTAATCAGCCAGACCAAAATACAAATTACGGTAATGACTTTGGCCAGGGTGTCGCCAAAATCGTTGAGCTTCTCCTTGAGTGGCGTAGGCTCCGAAATCTGCGAAGTGATGCTCTCGTGGATGTCGCCAATAGCAGTAGAACTACCCGTCAGAACCACGATTGCTGTAGCGTGTCCTGTCACCACGGTTGTGCCAGAGAAGAGCATGTTGACCTGATCTTGTTTGACAGCCTGCACATCGTCTATGGCTTTGCACTCCTTGCTCACACTTTCGCTTTCGCCCGTCAAAATAGCCTGATCGACTGCAAAACTGTTGCTCTGAATGGACAACAATCGACAGTCGGCCGGTATCCGATCTCCAATGGCGACAGTAACAATGTCTCCCGGTACAAGCTCGTCTGCCTTGACCTTCTGGACGTGTCCATCCCGTATCACCTTGGCTTCGTTCGCGGAATACTCTTGCAAGGCAGCGATGGCCTTTTCAGCACTGCTTTCTTGCGTTACACCGACGATCGCATTCAGAATGAGGATTGTCAAGATCTAGAGGCCAATTAGTCTCAGCCGTCTCGTAAAGCCATCTGTTTCAACGTACCACCACGGGATCGACAAATGCAGTCCAGTCGTCCGACTCTTCGAACAGGGCTAGGACGAAAGATATGGCGGCTGAGCCCAACAGTATGAGGACTAACTGGTCTTTGAATTGTTCGAGAACGAGTTGCCATAGAGGCGTGGGAGGATCTTCTGGGAGGGCTGTTGTGCTCGTTAGCATTCGGTGGTTGATTTTCGCGACTTCCTGCAATAGCGCTCACAGTTGTTTCCATATTTTTTTCTTGACTCGACGACTTGTGCAGACGACAGACCGGCTGCTTCAGTGACTTGGAACTGACTCAGCACTTCTGAAGTCGAGCGCACATATGCTTGCTCCATCTCGCGAGGGCCGTGGAGTGAACGACTATGAGACGGACAAGGAAATGAGGTTGTTGTGAAACGACCTGAGAAGATCCATACAGCACCGCGAACCGTCTAAGTGAAGCCCAGGGAATGCGGAAATTGACAATAAGAGGTAGGGAATCTATTTTAACAATTTCATGGTGAAAAGAGCGACTTTGGCAGTGACTTGGATAGAGAATCAATGCCCCACGTGGTGAATTGGACACGGTGGACACTGTTGAATCATCGAAAATTCCAGACGCCGAAAAGCGCAGCCCTAGGGCGAGAATACGAGGCCGGTCGGGGAGTTTGCACAATCCCAGGCAAAATAGTGGTGTCTATACAGTACATTTACAGTGGTTGTTCTACACTCCCTCTTGCCCTATGCAGTAACCACAGGAACTACGCGACATGGGCGAAGTTGGTATGGCGATGATTTGCACGGCCGGAGGAAATACGGAGGGAGGAGAGGGAGAACGGAATAGAGAGGGAGTAGGGAGTAACAGATGGCAGGGAGGCACGTGAAGCAAGCACAGAGTGGTCCATTAGGTGCATAGGTGCTGGTGCTGTTGTATCAGAGATCCTTCACTGAGAGATGGATGAATTGGTGGGTGAATCCTGAAACTCTGGGTGGCAGCTGGCGGCAGGTTTCACGCGCTGGCGTCAAACAAAAATCACTTTGTTCGTCACCTGCAACTTGCAAAAGGCAGGCAGGCAAGCCCAGTGCCCCAGAGCGGCTAGCGCCTCCAGTGCCTGGGTGATGCTCTAGCCCTTTAAGCATCAACCTGCCTTATGAGCCATCACTCACAAACCATCCATCTGCAACCCAATCCCCATTTCCCATCACCAGATATTCACCTCGTCCTTTGATTTTCCATCCCCCATCTCCCTGATTCCTTTTCTTGTCCACATCTTCAGAGCTCATCGATACCATCTCCCTCTTGTCATCAGTTCTCCTGATCCTTTACAATGGCTACCGATGTAAGTGCTGGTCCCCCGCGCCTCCAGGTTCAATCTCAGCTGGCTTCACTGTCCAACCTGAGCCCCCCGATCTAGTTGTTGATAAGACGCTGTGCTGACTTGTATGCGACTTGTAGCGCGAAAGGTATTACTACCTCACCTCTCTCTCGAATTATCCATTCACTGATCTTATTCCAGTAAAACATTCCTTGCGAGGCTCTGCGAGCAGGCTGAGCGCTACGATGAGATGGTCAACTACATGAAAGAGGTGGCCAACGTACGTCTACACCTTTGGACAATCACCGTGAATTTCACCGGGCTGACATGTGTTAGATGGGCGGCGAGCTGTCTGTTGACGAGAGAAATCTCCTCTCCGTTGCCTACAAGAACGTCGTTGGAACCAGACGTGCTTCCTGGCGCATCATCTCCTCCATTGAACAAAAGGAGGAGTCAAAAGGGTCTGACAAACACGTTGCCACCATTCGCGAGTACCGCCAGAAGATTGAGAGTGAACTTGAGAAAGTCTGCCAGGATGTTCTCGATGTCCTCGACAAAGCCCTCATTCCCAAGGCCGAATCTGGAGAGTCCAAGGTCTTCTATCACAAGATGTACGTCATCTCCTAGCGCCGCTGATGCTCGAGATAAACCTAACACGGCCAACAGGAAGGGAGACTACCACCGATACCTTGCAGAATTCGCTTCCGGAGAGAAGCGCAAGGTTGCGGCCACCGCTGCTCACGAGGCCTACAAGGTATGACAGTCGTCCTTCGTAGTGCACAAACATTCCGCTGACTCCCCCCGCTTGCAGAATGCCACCGATGTCGCACAGACCGAACTCACCCCTACCCATCCTATCCGGTTGGGTCTTGCCCTCAACTTCAGTGTCTTCTACTACGAAATCCTCAACTCCCCCGATCGTGCCTGCCACCTTGCTAAGCAAGCCTTTGATGATGCCATTGCCGAGCTTGACTCGCTTTCCGAGGAGTCGTACCGCGACAGCACGCTTATCATGCAGTTGCTCCGAGACAACTTGACGCTGTGGACATCGTCTGATGGTGGTGAAGGTGAAGCTGGCCCGGCTGGTGATGCGCCCAAGGAAGACAAGCCCGAGGCCAGTGCTCCTGCCGAGCCTGCAGACAAGACAGAGGCTGCTCCAGCTTCCTAGAGAGATTGCCGACAGGCAGCTGTGCATTTCTTTCCGCCTTTTTGGCGACTCTTGCTTACAACAACAACAACATCAACAACTCTCTATGTTTTCCGGGCAGGGTTATTGCTCAAAATGGCAGCACTTGCACTGGCATGTCTGTAATGAGCACGGATTCTAGGTATTGCACTGGAAGGCGTGCGAAGTGATTTGTTCCAACGGGCCCAGATAAAGGCAGAGAGAGAGAACTACCAAGACTCCCGGATTCGGGCAGACTACCTACCCCCAAACTATTTCCCCCATCCATGTCGAATGCGATTCCCCAAGGCAATACTGATTTCTTCGTTTTATTGTCTCCTACGATACCACATAGCTTTTAGCTCAGGTGGATTGATGAATGGAGTTAGCAAGCGCGTCGCGGAAAGGTCCACAATCACACTTTGACATCTGCAACTATGGTTTCTGGTCAGTGTTTCTTCGTCTTATCCCTCTCTTTGATTCTTTTGACTGCTGCCACCTCAGCCGGCTGGACGGCCCTGTCGGTCTCACGCTCAGGTAAGACATGTGACCTTGACGTACCCTGAAATTCATATTCCTTGGCAGTGTGACAAGGTTCACCGGCCACATTGATTTGATGGGCCAGGATGGCGAGATGGGTAAAAAGTCATGACTTCATTTCCGCATCCACTGCCGCCATACCAACCACTGCCCTCTTGAATCTCAGGGACATCCAATATGAAGCTCCAGAGCATGCCTGATTTTCCGCTTCATCTCACATTTTGGGCCCCGACCTACAGTTGCGTCATGCATCAAGGGTTGTCCTTACCCAAGCGGACCTTTACCTTTGGTTGTGAGGTAAATAGCAAAGCCTCCTTTACGGTGAGAAAAATCTCCAAAACTCTTTGAACAGCTTTGTGACAGTGTCTTTTGCACTCTCGCTATCCGCGCTTCCCTGTCTTACTGGTAAACCTGCTACTTTTGCTCACAACAGATACTCCGCCCATACCTAAGGCACCTGAGAATCTTCGCAGCACAATCAAACGTCAATTAACAAACCTTGAAAACATCTTCCATCAGAAATCCATCGAGCAAAGGGGCATGTCTCTCGGCCGTCGCATAGCCCTCGGTGGCTTAGGAGTCGGTGCAGCACTGTATTTCTGGCCGAATGCCTCACCAGGAGTTCCTGGGGCCCCAATCACCACCGCCAAAACCACTGGCGTACAGAACATAGAGAAAGCTTATGCGAGAGGTGGTGCCACTTCCACACACACCAAGGCATATGGGGGAACAATACAGGGACAAAAAGAAGATGCACCGATGAGAGAAGGCTCTGCCACAAACAAACCCACAGGATACCAGCATGATGGGATCGGAGACGACCAGCGGCCGAACGACCCCACCAAGCCTGAGAAATGGTGGATCAAGACGATGTATGGGAGTGAAAAGGGGAAATGAAAGGGTCAATTCGTCACTGTCCAGTGCACGAAGCACAATGTCTAGATCAATAACGCGCAAGGGAAGGGCCCAAACGTATAGTAATGTATACTCAGTTTGTGAACTTCGGTCCATTGACGGTGTCTGGTTGATCTTGCAAGTCGTTGTACATTTCGTCTTTCGTCCGTACTGCCTTCGGGGAAACAGGGGCTAATGCAGGGAGGTTCAAGATCATTCTGTCTGGACTTCGACCCTGGACCGCCTGACGAGATGGAAGTCCATAACATGTATTACCCTGTACCCTGTCCTCTGTACCTCGTGCTCAACTATATGGACACGGATCGCTGCCCAATCGGATCGAGGAACCCAGCGACCGGATATTCGCTCCCATTGCCGTGTCCGAGTTGAAGTCCCAGAACTGAGGGGGAACGCCGTTGGTGCTGTCGCTTGCATTCCTCTTTGTGGCTTGAGCCGCGCAATCTTTGCTACTCTCTATCCATGAACCCATGTTGTCTTCGACCATCAGCGCCTCTGGCGATCAGTCGACCCCCCTAAAGCGTCGCACTCGCGGCATGGCTATATTTGCAACTCCTGAGCCCTCATGAATCCTGCATCAAGATAGAGTAGGCCAGATTGCTCCCCGCAGATTCAGCGACTCCGCCAACGTCAGCGCCCTTAGCTAAGCAAATGGCGCTGGGGATTCTTGAACCGCAGGTCGAACACGTCCCAGGGACCGTGTATGTCTATGAGACAGAACAACGACGTGCTGAGCTGTTGGAGACTGCTCAGCATCTGAAGAAAGACAGGACCGGGCGAGTCATTCTCGTCCCTCAACCCTCGGATGACCCAAACGATCCCTTGGTTCGTGTTCTCACGCCAGCTACTCCATCAATGTCGAGGCTAACAGGGGCCGCAGAACTGGCCGTTATGGCGTCGTGATCTGATTCTTGGGATCCTTTGCTTTGTCTCTTGCCTTGCCACCACAGCTTCTCCCCTCCTTGCCGCTGATTCAACTACACTCGCGATCGTCTTCAAGCGAACTTTTCAAGATGCTGCCCTCCTCACGGCCTACCATCTCTGCGGCGTCGGTGTAGCGGGATGGCTGTTTGTCGCATCCGCAAGAGTCTGGGGCAAAAGGCACCTGTTTCTCCTAGGAGCGCTGCTCATGGTTGTAAGCTCGGCCTGGGGTGGTTCTACACACAACGGTCACAATTATGCAAGTCTATTATGGAGTCGCATCTTTCAAGGAGTCGCCCTGGCGCCTTTCGAGGCCCTAGTTAATGCCTGTGTGGGCGATCTATATTACGTTCATGAGCGTGGAATTCGAATGGCGGTCACCAATACTTGCCTTTTTGGAGGAGCTTTCTTAACGCCAGTCTTCGTGGGTATGATCACGGCGCACATGGGTTGGCAATGGACGGTAAGTTGATGTGTTCCTTGTCTTTGAATCGCGGCAGGTGTGGTTGGCGTCAGGTCCATATTGAGCAGATTCGCCTGTTTCCTGACCTGAACAAGTCACAGCCGTTGAGACGTGCTATTTCCTGCATGAAAGATGTTCTAACCTAAGGTCATACAGTTCTTCTTCCTTGCCATCTTCATGGCATTGGGATTCTTCCTCCTGTTCTTCTTCGTGCCCGAGACGGCCTATCGACGAGAACATTCTCTTGATCTTGACCTCCTCTCCGAAGAGGACTCTTCAAAGGAAACAAGTGGAGGAACTGAGACGTTGACTACAAAAGATGCGGAAGAAAAGCCTCTACACTCTTCAGCGCTTATCGAAACATGTCCCAAGAATTCGTACTGGAAACAGCTAATGCCATTCAACGGTCGAAAAACCGATGAATCATTCTTCAAGCTCCTCTTACGGCCATTCCCGCTGTTCCTACATCCTGCAGTCCTTTGGGCTTGCCTGATCCAAGGTGTGATTATCGGCTGGACTGTCATGGTCGGAGTCATACTCTCGCTGATCTTTCTGGGTCCGCCTCTCTTCTTTAATGAAGAGAGAGCAGGCAAGATGTACACCAGTGCGTTCATCGGCAGCATCATCGGCCTGCTCGGTGCTGGTTTGTACAGCGAGTTCACGACAAGGTTCATGATCAAACTCAACAGGGGCAAATACGAGCCTGAATTCCGTATTCTGCTCGTCATTCCGACCCTCGTGTTCTCCTGCATAGGTCTCTACGGATTTGGTATAACGGCTAACAATGTGGCACGATATGGCTGGATCGTCCCCGAGGTATTCCTCGCTTTCATTATAATCAGCATGGTCATGGGCTCCATCGCCTCTGCCCAATATCTCCTGGACGCGCATCGCGACATCGCAGTCGAGGCATTCACGAACCTCATCATCTTCAAGAACATCTTTTCCTTCATCTTGGCATATCATGCCTTCAATTGGGTATTCGCAATTCGCATCAACCATTTATTTATCATATTTGGTAGCATTGAGATTGCTATCTGTGTGCTGAGTGTTCCCATGTATATCTTCGGGAAGAAGAACAGGGAATTTTTCCACCGGCATGATCTCTTGAAGATTACGAAGCTCAGATGACGTGAAGTTTGGAGATCTATATATAGGGTAGAATATCTATGTAGCCACATAATCCTATGATCACCAGCCAGCCGATCCTCATTATGTCAGGAAAGGGGATGAGGATCTCCGACTCCACCTCTCGCTACATACCATGGCCCTTGTACGTTGGTTGTCAGGGGGTAGTTCTTTGGAGATTTGGCTGTTCCGAAACGGGGATGATGACAACCCCACGCAACAGTGAAACGGGACGACGGGTGACGAGCCGATTGCATTTTCTCCCTGTCCCTTTGCCACAGTGAGTCGAGGATCCGACTGCCACCGGGCGAGGAGTATGATGCAATTCCCAGAGGCGCGTATCACTTTGAAGCGCGTTGGTCTTATTTGAAACGGGCTCGGGTCGCGTGGCGCTGGGTTCCGCCCGCGTTCGGAAATTAAGAGGTTGGGGTTCGCGTCAAACGGCAACGATTTCAGGAGAAAGACGACTTCACTTGAACTCTCTTTGACGGGCCGACGAATTTTCGACAAAGACTGCCGACTACGTTGTCCCCAGATTTAATTTGTGCGACCAAGAACATGAACAGCGGTCGCGACTGTTAGAAAATCTCGGAACCGCAACGTCGACATCGAGATGCCGAGGAAAAGAAGCGGGAGACGACATCACTACACTCGAACAGCAGAATCGCAACCATGTCAGAATTAAAGCCCAGCACGCTCTGTGCAGCGTGCCAGTCAATTTTTGAGCCACAGACGCAGAAATCCGAAGAAACAGGCGAGATTCCGCATCATGGCTTGGAAGAACTCGCGGGCCGAGCAAGCAACTGTCATCTATGTCTGACCGTGTTTATGTCCATCGACCCCGACGCCTATAGAAACTTCCGGAACAAAGGATTAACAGCGAACTCGGTCGGGTTTGCCTGGATGTCGCCTATTGCCAGGGATCAAGCGAGGCTGAAGTTTCGATATGTGAAGCCCACGAAATCGGATGCGGATAAGGAGAATAGGGGACCTACACCGAGTAGTAGCGGGTCCAAAGCGAGTCTGACATTGAGTTGGGAGGAAACGACGGGGTTGGTGGTTGAGTTGATTTTGATGCATCCTAGGTGTAAGTGCTCCTTTGGCCTTTGTCCGGGTCTGAATCGAGGGTTGATATAGGAACCCTCATCAAGCCCGCTAACATGCTGCTTTCTCAGTTGCCGTCGAACCCGGAGTCCGAACCATCGACCCCAGATCCGTGAGTACGGCATCGATAGAAAGCTTCGATCTCGCCAAGCAGTGGATCCAAGACTGTACTTTCAACCATATGAAATGCTCCGTGACTTCCCCCGTTGACGCGACGTGGAAGCCCACGCATTTGCTGGACGTCTCGATCCGGGGTCCCAAGGGCGCTCCTGGGGTGAAACTTGTGGATGGCATGTTCGCGGACTCGTTGAGCGAGTATGTGACTCTTAGCCATTGCTGGGGTAAATCCAAGACGATTCGTCTGCATAAAGGGACTCTCGCGGCATTGAGGCAGGGCGTCAGTGTGGCGAACCTACCAAAGACATTTGCCGAAGCAGCTCTTGTGACGGATCGGCTGGGTTTTCGATACCTTTGGATCGATGCACTGTGTATCCGGCATGACAGCGAAACAGACGTGTTGGCGGAAGTGGCACAGATGCACCGCGTCTATTCGGAAGCGGCACTCAACATTGCCGCCACGTCCTCGAGGGACGATGCAAGCGGGTTGATCTATAGTCGAAACGTTTCAGCCTTACAGCCATGCATTGTCTCCGTCTCCTCGGGCTTGGGAGTCGATGAAGGGATGTACAAAATCCTACGCTCCACATTATGGCACGATCTCGTTGACTCCTCCCCCCTCAACAAGCGCGCTTGGGCCTTTCAAGAACGCTGCCTTGCAAAACGCACATTACACTTTACTCGCAATGAGCTTTTCTGGGAATGCCAGCAGATGTGTTGTTCAGAGGTGTTTCCGAAGGGGCTTCCCGCAACAATGGGCCCGCCTTCTTCTCAGGAGAGTGTGGAATTTTTCAGCAAGAAGGTTCATCATCAAAGACATGGGAACTGGCACCAGCTGGTGAGAATGTATTCCCCCAAGAAATTGACGTATTCGAGTGACAAGCTGTTGGCTATCCAAGGGCTAGCGAAGCAGTATATGGCAAAGAACAGACTACATACCGACGATTACTTGGTTGGCCTATGGAAGCCGCAGTTACCTCACGCGTTGCTCTGGCGAGTCGAAGGCGGGAGGCGACCGACAAAATACAGAGCCCCGACGTGGACCTGGGCGTCGATCGACGGCGAAGTCAAATACCCGGAACCGGCATCGTCGGCCCGAGAAACCTGCATTGAGATCATCGATCTTGACATGAAATATATTCCATCGGGCGACAATTTCGGTTTCGTGGAGGGCGGCAAGATGAAGGTTCGAGGATTCATGGCCAGAGGGTTGCTGAGACGAACGCGAGATTACTGGGGTCCTACGCCCTGCATGATCCAATGCACCAAAGCTCAAGTTGAACTTGAGAACGCATCCTTTGACGACCGCTTACCAAAACTCTCCGACGCCGGCAGCGGGATGCTCTGTGAGATGCTCGAAATCTACCTATTGCCGGTCATCGACGTTGTGGATCGGGTGGAGGGATTGCTCCTGTGCGCGACGATGAAAAAGGGGGAATTCAGGAGGATCGGAGCCTTTGACGTGAGTCGGTATGATCAGGTCAATTGGGATCGATTCCGCAGTGTCATGAAAGGCGAGGCCGAGATGAACAATTACGTGGAGAGGCTGGACCACGAGAATGGGTATTGGTTTGCGAGTGATTACACCTACACGATTAATATCATCTGAAGACCTCGAGGGGAGTGGTTCGGCAGCGATGGAGTTATAGGATGGGGAAAGGTCACGAAGATGTCTCGAGGGGGGCGATGTATATATGCCTTGATGTGGTGAGGTTCTGGGATATAGATGTGGATAGGTATATTGGATGATTGATGGTGCATTTGGGACCTATTTTCTGTTTTGTAACACCATCCCCATACAGCGTTGCGAGGAGGAAGGTGGTCCAGAGGTAGCCGGGCAATGTGTCGCTGGCGTCAAGCGAGGGGATGTGAAAAAGATGGCGTTTGTGTAATGTTTGATGACAATATATTAGTATATAAAAAATTTCTTCCGCCCTCAGCCTCGTGTCGGTTTCCAGCCTTGCGTCGAACTGTTCCACCCTTCTGTCAATGACAAGGCCTGCAGTTCGTGTTTCACCGCCCCGGCTGCAATTGAGATCTCATTTTCCATGGTGTTTGCTTGGCTTTCGTCTAATGCATTGGATAGCCAATCCGGGGCCCCAGTGGCGCGAGATTCAGCCAGCCCTGATTGTGTATTGTTTTTTCCTTTGGTTTTGGTTGTTTTTCTTCCTCATTGAGGTGCGCCCAGCTTCGTTTTGCAACAATTGAAGCTCGGTCAATGCGAGCATGAAGGTTGGTTCAAAGTGCGCTTCGGTCTCGCAATCTCACATGGTAATTCGATTGAATGGGGACGTCGACGTGCCAACTGGGGGCGAGCTAACACCCATATGTCGGAGAATTAGAGATAGAGTTAGTCGCATTTGGAGAGCGTGAACAAGCGTGAATCCAGAAGTGGGACTAAAGAAGCAGGGCATGGCAGATGAAGAGACATGCGTCAGAAGAGGCAAGGAGGGTACTGAGGGTGTGCACCCTGCCCATAGAGGTATTTATCCGCAGGCGACGGTCTGTCTCCTTCATCCTCTTTCCTATTTTCCCATCTTCCATCAATAGTTCCATCTGCACTCTCCATACCTATACTTACTGTTCTCTATTAATTGGCGACTCCCAGATTGCGGGGAAAGCTCAAGGCACCATTCACCATGCTTCGTCAGCTCAGCAGCATCCTGGCCGCCTCCACCTTCCTGGTGGGTATCGCCTCTGCCCAGCAGGCCCCGACTCTTCCCAGCTGTATGTGCTCCGAACCTGTACATATTAATCTCTCTTGTCGCCCGCTCTTGACGCCGTGCTCTAAAAGAGTTGCAGAGGCAAAAAGCGTCTGACATTTGTCCCGTACTTAGCTTTGATGGCTGACTTAGTCCAACGCAGGTGCCACCAGCTGCGTGTCTAGCCTCCTCCCCGCCAGCTGCAACGGCAATCCAACATGTCAGTCCTGTCTTATGGGGTGGTCCCACTGACATTGCAAGGAAAAGGGAAGAGAAGGGGCGTCACTGGGCTGACAAGCATATATAGGCATCTGCAACACCGCGTCGTTTCTCGACGGAATCGCCTGTTGCGTCTTCCAGGCATGCAATACCGCGGATCAGACGGCGGCCTTAGCCTACGCACACAGCATTTGTGACCCTGTTGGGGCTTCTTCGCTTTTGGTACGTTCCCTTCTATTCAACTGATCTCAACTGGTTTCGGGCGTGTGCGGTCAATGCTGTATTCCATGGGTGGACTTTCTCTTGGCCAAACCAGCCAATGCACTATGAGAACACCCGCCTTCATCTTCCGGTTTCAGTCCACGCCTCGGGATGGTCTAGCTGAACCTTCTGTCTTCTGCAGCCTGCATCGGCAACCTGCACCTCGACGTCCAGCGGCAGCGCAACCTCCTCGTCCTCCGTGTCTGGATCCAGCACGGCCGGCGGTGCAACCACCTCCGCCGCAAGCAGCGCTGCCAGTGTGTCCTCATCTGCCTCTGCTGCTGCTTCCAGCGCCAGCGCATCTCTCTCTTCTGCCCTAAGCAGTGCCAGTTCATCTGCCTCGACAGCGGCTGCGAGTCCCACAGGTGCTGGTAATCAGTTAACGATCGGGCTGGGTGCCGTCGGGGTCGGGATGTTAGGATTGGCTGCTATGCTGTAGGTGCAGATTCCAGAGGGACTGTATCCGAACATCTGGGACAAGAGGACGGATTTAAAGATTGGAAATAGTTGAAGATATAATGTGCCCAGATGCGATAATTATGTCTGCTCTGATCTACCATATTTGATAGAGGAGAATATGCACAGGCCTATTTCATTTAATGCTAGCATCAGGCATGGGAGACAGAATCTGGACTGTGTTATTTGGATCCATACAGATGAAGGTACGTCTCGTGCCCGCCATACACATCTCGATGGTGTTTTATTCATCGTCTTCGGTCTCTCTGCGCCTGGCCAATATTTTCGCAACCTCCCGCCCCTCCTCCTTTAGGACCGTCCACAAGTACCCCCAGAAAAGCATATCAGACAGCCCAGCCGTGAAGGTCACTCGATTCGCTAGCAGATTCAGTCCTGAGAGTAGCGATGTCCATTTTTCTGGAAAACTTGTTGCAGATGATGACTCCGAGGCAGAATGCGAGTGGAACATGTAAATCCAAAACACCAACGTTGACGAGGCCAAGACGTGTATCGCCGAGAGCGTGAGCCAGCGCGATTGGGCTGTCAGGAGGGTGTGCAGCTCTTCGGCGTAGCGCGAGGGTGACTTTGCAGGGGAGTCGTTGCGGGGGCTGCTCACGCCCGTGCCTCTCGACGACGCCGCTTGCGTTGAAGACGACGAGGGTGCGGTAGTAGCAGCGGTACTCTGAAGCATGGAGAGGTCCCCCGCAAAGAGAAACTGCGTGACCGCATAAACCACCACCACCAGCGCCAGAAACGCGAACAGTTCCCTCTCGGGCTGCCCTGTTCCCCTTCCCTGTCCCGCGAGCCGGCCTTTCACGTTGGTGTTCTTGCTCATTCGTGTGCTCGCGTCATTGGGCGTTATTTCCAGGGCATATCCCGCGGGACGGACGCTCATGCTCTCCCCGAGGAGCCATATGGGGGTCGAGGACAGGAGGGATGTGGGCGAGGTCAGGAGGTAGTAGGCGCATGTGAGGAGGGTGAGGGAGTGTGTGCGGAGAAGGAGTGTAGAGGACAGGAGCGCCATTGTCTTCGGTACTAGATCAAGGACGGACGATTATCGACGAGGCCACATTGATTGTTCCATTTGGTGAGGCTGGTGGGTGTCTTGCGAGTTTGATACCGCGTCCCCAGCCTCGCCAGTAGTATCAACGGAAAATGTGACGAGGCTGCGCGATGTGGATTGGAGATTCGGATGCGGAGATTCCATAATCCGGTTACTCTGTCTCGCCTTGAACGCCCACTTAACGAAGGCGCGCACGCTTCAACTTACTCTACGCGGTACACCTGTGTCTTGACATGCGGGAAACTGCATCGTCATTCAAATTAACGAGGTGACATGACACGAGGCGGTTTCTCGTGTCAGCAAGCCGCATCCGAAAGCAGCCCTATACTCGACAACGCCAGCAGCGTTGTTTGCGCACATCTCCTTCAATCGGCCTACATATCTGAAGACGACGCGCACCAACTAAAGATCGGGTCGCCTTGGAGGCCTTGCCATTCACCCATTGCAATTCTCGTCGCAGTTGCCTGACAGAGTTATAGCCCATTCTTATCCGGATCAACCATTTCCTCCAAATGGTCCGCGGCAACTTTCTCCTTTTGGCCCTGAGCCAGGCCTATGAGCTATGACTAAAGCCTAGGAGCCAGTACACGCCATTCGAGCACACAACCCAAGTGACCCGCCGGCTGTTGACATGTGATGTCTTCCCCGCTATTCAACACCGGCTAACGCGACGTACTCAGTTCAAGAGCAAAGCCTAGCTTTCGAATCGACTGCCCAAGCGGTTGTTGATTCTTGGACGGAAATTTACCGAGGCTAATACGCCCTCTTTGGTAAGCTGACACCAGGTCTTACAGGAGAAAGATATATACATCTAAAAGGATGAGTTTGAAGCATTCCGAATCCTTCAATTGATCTGGGAACTTTAGCCCTGGGGTGGTCTCGTCATTTTCCTCGTTACCAAGTGTACTCAGAGTCGGCCATATTTATCCGTACCTCCCTCTAGCCGTCGAATCAGCCCTGTCATCATGGAGCCTTACACGAATACAGGAGCCGTGAATTGTGATGTAGATATTGACACTAGCAATGCCAAGGGCAAGACTGCTATTGTTACCGGTGGTATGCTTGAGATCATGGCGAGACAAAGCTGTGACTTTTTCTGATATGCTTGCTCAGGAGCCAATGGCATTGGTGAAGCATATGTTCGTGCTTTAACAAGCGCCGGGTATGACCCAGCCTCTAACACGGCAACGGGCATCACGTTGATCGATATGCAGGGCTTTTGTCGTTATTGCAGATCTGGACGCTGAAGAGGGAGCGAGGCTGGAAAAGGAATTGGGCAGGTGAGCATAACAGAAGTTCCCCTCGTGCTTCATCGATAATGCCATTGACGTTCCGTGCGCAGCTCGGTCAAATTCGTCAAGTGCAATGTCACTGTCTGGGCTGATCAGCTGGGCGTCTTCAAAACTGCAATTTCGTCTTCTCCCTCTGGCAGGGTGGACATTGTCATTGCAAATGCCGGCATTAGCGGAGCCGATTCGGTCTTCTTCAATGACCGTAAGTACAAAACGAGGGATGACCAGAACAGAATCTCATGCCTTGTCTAGCCGAAGCCGAGGAACCTGAAGAGCCGAAACTCAATATCCTCAATGTGAATCTCAACGGCGTCATGTACACGGTCAAGCTGGCGCTTCATTATTTCCGCCGGCAGAATGCTTTGAACAAGGGAGCTCCTCTGGATCAAGTCCTCATATTGCAGGGCAGTCTAGCGGGATATCTCGACCTACCAGGAGCTATTCAGTACATTGCATCCAAGTTTGGTCTCCGCGGAATGATGAGGGCTCTTCGCAGGACGGAGCACCAACACAATATTCGAGTGGCATATATTGGACCTTGGTAGGGAAATGTATGTCTTCGAGCTTCGTCCAAGCTGACTGGATCGACCTAGGTTTGTCGAAACCAAGATTCTGAGCAAGCCAGTCGTCGAACATCTGACGAAGTCGGGCATCGAGTTTGCCACGGTCGAGGACGCTGGCCAGTGTGCGCTGAGGATCGTGTCCGATCCAAGAGTTAATGGTAAGCAGGCGACACGTCCTCTGCGAATGGGATACTGATAGAGCGGTCTCAGGTCGAGCATTTGCCATCGTCCCTCGAAGATACGCGCCCCGTGGATATGTGGATATCGATTACGACGACTATGCCGAAGGCACATTGTTGGAGAAGCTCCAGACCGCTGCCGGCGCTGGCAACCACCGCACTGCGGTAAGTCATATGCCGCTCTCAAAATCTGAAAGAGAGATTCTCATGCCAATGTTTTCCAGCTCGCCCCTGAGAAGCAGAAAACAAAAACTCAATGGTCAGAGTCGGCGACAAATTGAGCAACGAGGGCCGATGCGAGCTGAAGGATCGTGCGATGATATACCCCTCTATACCAGGAGGTGTGCCGTAGCTCCAATCATAAAAGGAAGGTGACTTCTTTGTGTCCATTGCGAAAGTATATCCTTCGAGGCTTCTCGCCAATTAGTGGCTCTTGAACTCTTCGTTTAGTCGTATATGACGCATCTTCGGATTGTTCAACAGCTGACGTGCAGCTCTGACGGTGCCATTCGACGTCAAAATGAATCCGGAACGGAAGGAGTCTTCCGCGTCAACCTCTTCAGCGGTTTTAGTTCGTCCAAGTGCCTAGTTCTGGATGAGTCGGAAGGGGTGGGCGTGCGTGGCAGCAAGGCAGCTCGCAAGGCTGGAGTCCACCCTTTTTCCTGGCGGGTCTCAAGCGGTGAGCACTGATTGGACTGAATATAAATAGCCATCGGCCAATAGATGCTCCTTACGAACGGCGTCAAAAGCCAATATCATCTCCACCTGTCTCCATTCATCTCCACCTTCTTGCACTTGCCTCCACAACGCTGGCCTGGCTGGCGCTTACACGCAGTCGACGTGGTCTATTCGCGCACGACCCATCAACACCCCCCTGCATCCGATCTGTCTCATCTTTTCCCGTCATCCAATCCTCTTTCGCTTCCAAACGCCTGCAGACCAAAAGACCCCAATGGCGACCAGCTATCCTAACGTCCCTGTCCGCTTTGGGGAACAATCACTGACGTCCCTTGCATTTCCAGGTCTCGTATCTGGTTTCGCTAAACTCGAGGGGCGTCGGATAGGCTCAACGCGAGCTGCATCAGGCGACAAGGAAGTCTAGAGCCTCTTCTATTGTTGTACCACGTCTCGCAGGTCCTTTTGGGCAAGCATTATCACGAATTCAAAAATAAACACAGTAAGTAACTTTCTTTTGCCTGCCTTATTTCTACCGCCGAGTGTCCCCTTTGTACTCCCCTTCATCAAGCACATTTTGATTCAGCAAGAGATACAATCACAAATATAATCAAAGAAGTCATCTGGCTGCATTCCATTTTCTGTGGGTTTCATGCTTGGGGGTAGGCGCCTGGTGCGGCCTTCCACTTCGACACCCGTCGACACGGCTTGAACTTCACCCAGCCCTTTCAGTTCAGCGCTCTTCTTTTGATACAGGCGTCTGCCCATACACCGCCCCAACGTCAGATCAGCCCTCGACCACCCTGAAAACCCCTTTTATTCCCCATACTATTATTATTGTTAACCGACCATGGCTGGCGTGCTCGACGGGTTTATCTCATCCCGGCGTCGACCTTCAAGGTCCCGATCAGAATCCGGGAAGCAGCTTCATGCTCGATGGGGCGATGTTGCAATCACTGCTCCGAATGGCGGTTGGACCCAGCATTATGTGGAAGGTGACCTCAATAACGTCACCTATCAAGCTCACGGCAGTCCCGACTCCCAGAAAACCCTCGTCAACAACTCCCCAGACCTGAGTTTCAAAGACGAGATTGAAAAGGTCAGCGTCGAAGCATTCAGACAGCCAACTCCTCCGCTCATCCAGAGAGAACGAGGTGGAATCACCATCACCATCCCATTTCCATGGAGTCGGAAGTCACATCGAAGATCGTCATCGGCCAGCGGCCACAAGCAGGCCCCGCTGGCCCAAGGGGCAGAGAAGGTGATCACGGCGGAATCCCGGCCCGTTCTTAGCAGTATCACAACCAACATTGACGAAGTCATTGTCGCGGAATCCAGACCAGCCATTGAACCATATCGATCAAACTCGCCCATCATGCACACTCAGTCACCCGTATATGACGATGTCAGCACCTTCTTCACAAGGGCAGCCTTTCCCGAGAAGCATCCCGGTCCGACGCGACTACCACAGATCCAGACATCTGTTCCACCCAACAAGAGTCAACCGGCTTCGGCAGTCTCCATTCTGAGTCCAGTGGCAGAGAAGTACAACGGGCTCTCGGAGAGTAACAATGCCACACCCATGGATAACACTCCCATTGCTCGAAAGATTGAATCCGCCCTCCCTGTGGCTTACGATGGACAGATTGATGCTGCAAGCTTGGCCAGCCGTCTGGAAAGCCATGCTCGCACCCCGCCTCCAATTCTACCATCATCTCAGACCCCTAGCTCAGATGATGAAGCTCCTGACACAGCAATTGAGAGACCCGACTCCCGCAGTACTGCTAGAGCACCTTCCCGTCCCCCTTCTCGAGGGCCTGGCATCGGTGAAGTGAGTTACATGCGAGCGTCATCCCGGGGGCCCGTAGAGCAAAGGGATGGACGTCGGTCTGCTTCTCGAGAACCCGCTGAGCGGCGAGCTGGCTCGGTGGAACCGCTGCGACGAAGAGCTCTTTCGAGAGAACCCGCACAACGCCGTGCAGATTCTCCCGTGCGAGGTGTGACTGGTCATTCCTTTTCCCGAAGGACTGGCCGAAGAAACGCGTCTCGCGAACCAATCTCCAGGCGCTCTCTAGGTAGAGAACCAGTTGCGCGACATGCCGACTCTCCTCCACTAGTAAGTCGTCGAGCTCTGTCCCGTGAGCCCGCTGTTCGCCGTGCAGATTCACCAGAACCGAAAACCCGCCGGGCTCTGTCTCGCGGACAAGCTGTTCACGAGTCCATCTCACCAGAAGCGACCATTCCTCGCGTCTTTTCTGACGAGCCGGTCCGTCCTCGCGCCGAGTCTCCAGGCCCAGATCCTCGGCGGCGAGCACGTTCCCGAGACCCATCCGCTCGACGCGAAATCTCTCCGGTCGGTTACAATCGTCGAGCAATCTCTCGTGAGCCATACACTCGTCGTCGTATCTCTGATGACTATTCTCAGCGCGCTATGTCAGTCGACCCTTTTCAGCGTCGCCCCAAAGACGGCGTTCACTCGCGCCATGCTAGCCCTAGGGACGACATCTTCGCCCGCCACGCCAGTCCCAGAGATGATATCATTTCTCGTCGTGGAACCCCGGTTGTGGCATCTGCCGACAGGGAAAGCGCGGCAGATTCGACCTCTGCTAGTGAGCTGACAGCCGATGAGGCCACCGACATCGAGACCGAGACGGACGAGATGTACTTTGAATCGCGCAAGGGATGGAACGGCCCCGCGGTGGTGGGAGCCTCCAGCAAAGGGTTCTACGGCGACGTTGTCCAGGACTACAAACTCATTGCCCGTGACGTTGAGGCCGAAATCGCGGCGTCCGAGGCGCAGGTCTCGGGGATCAACATTGTCAACTTGATCAAGAAAGACAAAGAGAAAGAGAAGGACAAGGCAGTAAAGGTGTACGAAGGACCGGATTTGGTGCCGCCCCAGGACGAATTATGGGGATGAATATGATCTGCCACCACCACCGTCACCCTCTTTTTTGGATGGGCGACGAAGCCAAAGAAACCCGGGGAAACACCCCCAATAACCAGAAATTGTCGAAACCGGAGATGCCTTGCGGGCTACATTCACTCACGCATATCAAGCTACAGGGCAGGAGAACGGTACCAAGACAAGACCCACCCGGTCAACCAGATCTTCAGGCATTCATAGCCCATGCTACAACGATGCCACCAAGAAAAAGTCTCCCCACCAACAACGGGGCGACTTGGGAAAGGCAACGCAAAAAAGTAAAACATCACAGTCAGAACATGGAACCACAAGTCCCTGGGTCGTCTTCTACCAAGATTGGCCAACACTACCGACTTACCTATCTACCCACCTACGCGACATGACAGGGACGAATTTTCTTTTCTTCTTCTCTATTTTCCCCCTTCTATTGGAATCACGGCGGCTTCGAATCTGCGTCAAGAAGCGTGCCGGCGGAGGACAAAATTGGCGGGTAACTAACCAACCAATCAACTAAACAACTGTCCAAAAAGGGAGGGACTGATGGGTGTGTATGTGTGTAGGCGCTCGGAGGCAGCTAGTATATGTTTATGTACATGACGGACAGGTCAGGGGGTGTTAGTGGCATGAACAAATGAATCCATCCGTCCATATCCCAGTTCTGTCTGTCGCCTCCTTGAAACTCAGCCTCGCCATGAACCGAGACCCATCAAATCTGTCTCCCTTTCTCCGGTTTCCCCATCATTCACCCCGTTTCGGACCAGCCATCAGTCCCGAGCGTTCTTGCACGTCTCTGAGCTGTGTCGCCGTTATCACCGGGCCCGAGATCCTCCCCTCGTTCAGAAACGCCAAGCCGCCGCTACCGCTGCCACTGAGACTGTGAATGTCGTGCTTTGGGCTCGTGCTCATCTTCCTCATCCGCCTCCAAACTGTCATGCTACAGTCCGGCGCCCAAATACCTGACTACAATTAAGCGCATTTCTCCCTCATCTCACGCTGCTTAGTGAGGAACGTTTACTTCGCGCTCACGTATCTCGACAGCTTCTCGTCCAAAGTAGTACACACGAGCGGTTCTGATGGTAGATCTGCCAAGGCGCATGAAAGTACGCCGACAGGCGGTCATCGTTATGGAGGCGCGAGAAGAGGCCGCGATCTCGGAGGGGGCGGGTAGAGCCAAGGAGACGAGTTGGTCCCAGCGGTCTCCCCTCGCAGAGTATGCTTCGGGCGTGATGAACTCGCAGGCGTCGTATGGGCCGAAGAGTGCGCGTACCAGTAGCAGCAACAGTTTGGGTTGACATAGTGAGGGCAGTAATGGTACAGTCTTGTCTCGCAGAGCCAGACCGGGTTGGTTCTGTAGTGGCATGGGATGTCATCCCGGTTGATTCGTGCCCAGAGTTTGGCGAGCATTTTGGGTTTCTGCTGGGCCATTGAGTGATAAAGAGCGGTTAAGAGGGTAGGAAAGGTGAGATTGGCTCGAATGGGCTGGAGCCGAGATAGAGAATGGTTGCAGGGTGTATTTCGTATCTTGTCGGGGCGGGGGGGTTCCTTGGTGTTCATCAGCATCGTAGATAATACAATAGGCATAGCAGGGCATGAAGGATGACGGTGAGGGTGAGACGGGTGGTGAAACAGTATCGGTCCTCGTTAAAGGCACTTAGCCTTGCAGAAGAGATTCTTCATTGACCTCACAGACACAGAGCCATCGTTCAGAGACACGGTCTGAAAACGCCGCCCACGAAGCTTTCCTTGCATTGTCCAGTGCTGAGACACAAGTCCCTGCTGCCTGGGTACCACCCAGAACAGACAGAGGAATGGGCGAGTTTTGTTCAAGTTCCAAATCAAAGAGGAACTGGCTGACTGTGAAACAAATTCACTGATGGAGGGAACAAAGATCTGGAAAGTGGTGTGAACAATGCTGAATATGATACAACGCTCATGAAGCACTCGGGCATGTCGCCTGACACGCCCCTAATTATACAATCCCTTGCCTTTCTGAGGAAAAATCGGCTATCAAGAATGGGAAAGAAGAAACTCCGGCCCCGGTTCGTCGTCTTCGCTTTCGGATGTCATCGTCCTGTCTGGAGGCTTCGGTCGAACGTTCGGGATCGACATTGGTGCTGAGCTCGGGGCGTAGTTGCTTCCTCCACCAAAAGCATCCAAATCGGAGGATGGAGCACGAGGCTGTGACCACCTAGGGCCGCTCAAAGGATCGAGCTCGAGGCCTCGAACAGGATCGTCCTCTTCCTTCTGCTTGCCTTTGTTGAGCGGATCCCCAAACTGACGCAATGTATCTTCTAGACTTTGATTGCTGCTTTCGCCTGGGCTCCGCGTTCTGCTGGTCGGAAGCGGGTCATCCCTGAGCAAATCCGCGTTGCATTCATCACCCTGTCCCTCATCATGTGCAGGCCGATTCGGATCTTCGAATCTATTGACACTGTCGCCATCGCTCAATTGACCATTGGTTGTCATGGATGATACGTTGGTCGTCCGCTGGAGCAGATCGTGTGCCTGTCGGAAAGCCGCGAGCTCTGCCCCGATCGCACAGTTGAGGAGATTCCAGTTCTTCGATTCGGCCAGTTCAAGATCTTCCTCGAGAGATGAGATGAGCGTGGAGAGTTTTGTCAAGACGAGGTGCATAGACGTATCTCCGGCCACTGCCGCCGGGGCAACCTCAAGATAATCTGCTCCGTTCGCGCCAGGCCATTGGAGTCGCGACTGAGATAGCTCTTGCGTCTGCGCCTTTAGCTCTCTCTCAAATTCACCAATCCGCTTTACAACGTCACGCCAAAGTCTCAATCCCTCTTCCAACGCATTCCTCTCACTCTCCGCGCTCGCCTTTCTCTGACCCAACATTTCCACTTCGCTTGTCCATTGCTCCTGCGCTATTTGCAGGGTGCGCCTCTCCGGTTTCAAGGCGTACATGCCCAGATCTTGTCCAGAAATCAGGCTCTGCTGGATCGGTGGTCTGCGCAGGAACGATTTGACTTGGTTCTCACTCAGTGCCAACGATTCCATGTATGAACTCAACTCGGAGTCCCTCGAGCTCTCAGTCTCGCGAAGCTGGTTCACCAGGATTCTGTGCTTGGACCTGAGTTCCAGCAGCGTTGTCTCTAAGCGCCGGATCTCCACTTCCACAGCTTCAATCTCAGAGCGTAATCCAACCGGACCTTCTTCAGTTTTGATCCTGTGGATTTCATCCTCGAGGAGTTTTTTCCGATTTCCTAGATCAGAAGCCTGTTTCAGGGCCTTATCTCGGGCTACAATTTCTCGGTCAATCAGGGACAATTCCCACTCCCTGAGAGCCGCAAACTCCTTCATGGACTTAGCTAGACCGCGTCGTGCGCCTCTGAGTGTGATCTTTTTGGACTCTGGTTGGCGGATCGGTATGGTTCGCGGTCCTGATTCTGCTCCCGTCCTTGTAGATGCTGAGAGGATGGACGGGGTGGGCGTGGGGCTGCCAACGGAAGACGAGTCATCCACTTGCGTCGTCGCAATGCTGCCAGCACTGAGTCCCTCTGACTGCGCATCGAGGAGGCTCTGGAACGTCCGCTCGAGGGATTTGGCTGCTCTCTCGACTGGGAGGAAGGGGTCATTGTGGCGCACCAGAGACGAGCTCAACTTTTGCGGTGCTGGAGAAGACGGAGAGGCCGATGCTGTCCGTCGCCAGTCGGGCGATGAAGATGGGGATGTTGCGTCTTGGAGAAGAATTCGAGGACAGGTCGCGTCAGATCGTGAAGATGAGACTGAAAAGTCATCTTCGTAGCGAGGAAGTGAACGTATACTCCCAGGCGGGTGCGGAAAGATTCGTTCAATGAAAGACTTCTTCATTGTTTGGCCAGGGGAGATGGAGATTCGCAGTCGCTAGAAATACGGCGAGCCGGAGGTGAGATGATGTCGATGTCGCTGTCGCTTCGCAAGATCGCACATAACGGAAGCCACGAAGTCGTCGACCTTCCAGGCAGACAGATTCGTCTTCTGGTTGCATGAAGCCAGCGTGACACGATCATGTGTGCAAAACAAGATGCCATATTGAACAAAAGTCATGGGTCAAGGTCAACAGCCGAAGTTTACCCATGCGGAAGCCGGACAAGGCTGGACGACATCTTGACGAGATTCAACAGGGAGACAGCCAGGTCTACTATGTACTACGTGCCCATCGGCGACCAGCTTCTTGCATCCCAATGCCCACCCTGAATGAAAGAACAAGACATTCTATGCTTGCATTTAGACCCGAACAGTCGGCAACAATCCTTCCACCAAGATATATGGAAATTCATTATACGGAGCCCGGGCGCAGGAGCTCGCATTCCACCAAAGGCCTGTTTCTACGAGTGCTGGATTTCCACCACGACCTTCCCCCTCGCTCGACCAGTATTTAGCCTTTCATATGCCTCCTTGGTTCTGGCAAAGTCAAATACGCTGTCGATGACGATGTCTTCATCTGGATCTAGCCTCGTCGTCTCTGCCAGCCACTCCTTTCTCGCATCGAGCATAATGCACTCGTAAGACTGCCCCAAACCCAGATATCCACAGAGCCACCTGAAGACCATTCGAGGGTGCGTCAAGTATATCATGGGTCCGCCCATGGCTGCACGCGAAGTTTTATCTCCCACAATGGTCACATATTGTGGAGCGAGACCGATGCACTCCGTCCCGCCTACACAGTCCGCAATCGCATTCGGGAAGAATTCCTTGACAGCATTTGCGACAGCTGTAGGTGATGTAGTATAGTCCACAATTTGTGACGCGCCGAGGCCTTTTACGAACTCGGCGTTGCGACCACTGCAGCTGGCAAGGACTTTCCAGCCCAGGGATTTTGCGATCTCCACGGTGTAGATCCCTGTTGCAGAAGATCCGCCAAGGACAACGAGTTTGTTCTCAGAAGGAGTTGAGGACTTCATAAATGGCCTGCACCTTTCTATGATGGTCCGTGCCGTGAGGTAGACGAGCGGAAGACTGGCGGCTTGCACCCAAGAAAGATGCTGTGGTTTCTTGACGAAGCACGCACCCTTGAGATCAATATCGGCCACTTCAGTCAAAGAGCCTGTACCGTTGAGAGCCATGCTGATGCCAAAAACCTCATCACCCTTTTCGAACTCGGCGCCTTGGCCTGCTGCGAGTACCGTACCTGCAAAATCCCGCCCTGCGACCTTGGGACCGTTCAGATGAGGGAGCGAGTTGAACGGGACGTTCATAAGTTGGATGTCGACTGGGTTCAGCGCTGCCGCGTGCATGCGGATGAGAATACGACCCGGTGCCGGAACTGAAGGGACTTCAGTGTCGGAAAGCTGGAGTGTCTCTGGATAGCCTGCAGTCGTATAGACCCATGATTTCACCCTTGTCGTCGTCTTGGACATTTTTTGGATCGGCAATAATCACAGCTTCGATAACGATACTTGTTTGGGCGAAATTTGAAATTGCTATCGGCCGGGCGTGCTGGTGAACGCGAAGATGACCAGACAAGCAGATATCTAGAGGGACAAGAATGACGACTATGGTCCGCGATCAGATGAAGGCTCCTCAGGCAACACATATTATTAATATGTAGACAGGCTATGTGCCACATGAAGTCACAGCTGTACAAGCGACGAGTTCGCATTGTGGAGCTAGTGATGCAGCTCAAACAAGGGTCGTTTCAATGAGCCGACCAGATCCGAGGCAATGTGACTCGGAAACATAGAGGAGCACTCCGTGAGCTTGCGTTCTGCGCAGCATGAATGCCGTTAAGAGTTATAAGAGCTTGTACCATTTCGGATAGGAGAGCCTCAACAGACTTGCAGTGTCACTTCGCTAAGGTGTTGTCGCCTTTCTGCCTAGGTAGGGCGCGATGGAGACGAGATATGACTGCTCTGGCATGCTACTGTATGTAGCACCAATAGCATTGAGTGGGTTTACATTAGCAAGCGCCAAGCACCCAGAATGAGCGCAGCTGTGCCTGTGCAGACGCCCCTATCATGGTGGTCAGATTTACATTCCGCTGGCCTTGGAAGGGGAGCATGATACTTACATGAGCCACTGGAGGGTCGAGAACTTGACTGCTTCGACTCGTTCCCTGAGACTAGCCACCTCTTGCTCGATTCGAGCTTCGGTCTCCTTGATCCTCATCTCCTGTCCGTTCGCTTCTTCTCGTATCCTGCCCTTCTCGAGATTCAGGTCTAGCCGCACGCTGGCTTGCGTGCGACTGATCTCATCCCGTAATCTCGAGTTCAATTTGGCCAAGTCACTGGTTAACCGATCGTGGCTGGATCGTGTTAATTGTGCTTCAGTGCTATCCGCATTGGACAATTCACTCCTCAGTTTGGCAAAATCAACCTTCTGGGTGTATGTGCTTCTCTCAGCATCTTCCTTTAGGACCATAGTACG